AGAAATGACCCCGTTCTCATCCCTAAAAACACCTCCAATCCCTGATTGTCCCGAGTTCCCCCTACAACTCCCATCAAAATTTAACTTTAAGAAGCCAGCAGGTGAGAGAGTCCAAGAGACCCTTATTACTGGTTTGATCTGAGTGCAGTTTGCAATCTCACCCCACTTTCTCAGTATGTCTTCCACTGTGTAGTCTGTAAATAGCTCTAATGATTTCAGCCACTGTACTGCCCTTGTGTGGATCACAGCCTTCACATCTTCAGCCCCTCTCTCATTTTCTGAGAAGATCCTAGTATTTCTTTCTTCCCTTAATGTCCAGCATACTGCAGCCCTTAGACCTCTCTACATAGTCCTTCCCCTTTTCATGTGCCACCTGAAAAAGGAAGGGGAAAATAGGCTCTGCAAGTCTGATGAAGAGCTCCACCTACACCCAAAGAGAGAACAAGCCCACTCCCAAATTGACTTTGCAAATTGGCAAGACACCAGTAAATGAAAACTAGTCTCCCCATCCACTTTGCAAAGAACGCACCAATGAGGTGACAAACAAGTATTGGGTCTCTTCTTTTGGAGCAAATCCCCAGAGTTGAATCTTTCCAAATAGGCTTCCCAACAAAAACTACCAACCCTAGGAGGAATCAGTCTGCACCAAACCTCACTAACCGGGAAAGGGAAGGTTGCAGGACTGGTGGACTAGCAAAGGACTTTGAAGAAGGAAGCACAAGAAAAACAGCCCGTGGGGATAGGGGTCCAAATTCTAGAGTCCACCATAGAAGGGTCCAAGAAAACATTATCAAGAAATTCAAAGAAGTTCAAAATACAATCAAGGTCTGAGTCCCTCACAGCCCTCCTCAGACCCAGGTTCCACCCAAACCCCGAACTAGAAGAGGAAGGGGTGATGAAAGAAGAAATTGGCTCATCTTTAAATTCGGATAGAGCATACAAAGAAGGAAGTTGTTCCTTAAGAGGAACATTCCCCACCCAAATATGTTCCCAGAATTTTATGGAATTACCTTAATTCAAATCATACCTGAGATTAGACCTGTTCATGGGCCGGGCCGGGATTTTACTCATCATTAATGGAAATACGCTAGGCCCGAGCCCGAGCCCGGCCCTGATAAAAAGCCCGAAGCCCGAGCCCGAGCCCGAAGCCAGACCTAATAAAAAAAATTACAATTTTCCCCATTCAAATTAGAATTAAAAATTTAGATGTTTTTTTCCTATTTAAATGAACAATGGGCCTACAAGATGGTTTTTCCACTTTCTTTTACGTTTTAAAACACAGTTTTACATTCTTAAATCAAAAAATTTATTCAAATGGACATAATCACATAACCCATTTTAAGTCTAATTTTAGGTCGGGCCGGGCTATTTTGACAAAACCAGAGCTCGGCTCGAATTTATTGCGGGCCGGGCTTTTTGGCCCGAGGGCCACCCGGCCCATGAACAGGTCTACCTGAGATGAGGAAAGAAGACTGGAAGCAAATCATGAACGGCCTTCCAAGGTGAAGTGCTTGTGGTCCTTGCTCTAATTCCAGCATCCCATCCATCTTGCTCCAACCCATGTATGCTTGCCACTGTTCTAGCCCATAGCTTCTGCCGCTCCAAAGGGAACCTCCACAACCATTTCCCCAGAAGGGCCAAATTCCTTAACCCAATGTTCCCAAACCCCAAACCCCCATAGTTTTTACTTCTGGTCACCACCTTCCAACTAACCCTCTGGTCCCTCTTCTCCTCTCCCGGCTCCCAAAGGAAATCTCTCATCAACCTCTCCAACCTACTACAAACCTTCCCTAGAATATTAAACACCGAAAGAAAATAAATGGGTAAGTTTGCTAACGTGGCCTTAATCAATGTAATCCTACCACCCAGAGAGAGCTTCTTCCAAGATACAAGTCTTTTTTCAAATCTTTCCACCATCGGGTTCCAAAAGCTCTCCCTCTTAGGATTATCTCCTAGGGGCAACCCTAGATAGTTCAGAGGCCACCCTGATACTTCACACCCCAGTACTTCTGCACTCTCCCTTAACTTTCCCTCCTCCAGATTCACCCCCACTACACAACTCTTCCCAAAGTTCACCTTCAAATTTGATACCTACTCAAATAGTTGAATCACCAGTTTTAGATTCCTTATGAAGCTCACATTACCTCCTTCACAAAACAGGATCGTATATTCAACAAACTATAAGTGAGTGAGTGAGATGTTCTCCCTTCCAACCCTCCAACCTCTAATGAGACCCCTAGAGTCTGCCTTGTGGATCAACTTCCCCAAAACATCAGCAACCAGTAAAAACAAAAATGGAGATAAGGGGTCTCCCTGTCTTATACCCCTAATGGCTGGGAAGAAATCCACCATTGTCCCATTCACTAGCACTGAATAATGACAACTCCGAATACAACCCATGATCCATTTGCACCATCTGGCCCCAAACCCCATTTTGATCATAACTTTCCTTAAGAACTCCCAATCCACCATATCATAAGCCTTCTCCAAATTCAACTTACACACCACCTCCTTTTTATCCTTCTTAAAATTCTCCACACTCTCATTGGCAATGAGGATTTCATTTGTGATCTGTCTTCCACTTACAAAGGCACCTTGATTTTGTTCAATTATGTTTGACAATACCCTCTTCAACCTCAAGGATAACACCATTGCAATGATCATGTACAAACTGTTTACCAAACTAATTGGTCTGAAATCCCTTGGATGCAATGCTTCTTTCTTTTTGGGGATCATAGCTATAAAAGTGGAATTCATCCCCCGGGTTAACAATTCCTCTCCTATGAAATTCCTCAAAAACCATGAGAAGATCATCTTTCAAAATATCCCAACAATCCTAATAAAAAGCCATTATAAACCCATCCGGCCCTAGAGCTTTTGTTCTGTCCATAGAAAACACAACCTCTTTAATCTCCTCCAAGTCAAACTTCCTTTCCAAACTCCTCCTATTATCTCCCCCTACATTTGCCCAGTCCAGACCTTCAACCCACACCTTTCCATTTACAGGTCTTCTTAGAATGGATTTAAAATGTTCCACACATGCTCTGGCTATCTCCTCTTGTTGAGTTAACTCAATTCCATCCACCACCAATTTGGAAATGAAATTTCTCTTTTTTCTTCCATCTGCCAAAGAATGAAAGTACCTGGTGTTCCTATCTCCCTCTTGCAACCATTTGCACCTAGATTTTTGCCTCCAACTTATCTCCTCCAACCTCTTGCAACCATTCTACTTGCTTTTCCACCCATATTCTTCATATTTAATCACTCACAAAGCCCACCACCAGATCTAAATTAGCAAGGCCCCTAACCTGTCCCACATCACCACAATTGCTGAACAAACTAGAGGCAGATCTTCGTTTAGAGATAAATGGGTAGAATTGTTTCTTTCAAGGTTTCTTATGAATTATGATATAGAGGGTAACTTCCCAGTGTTAAAAGGTCAAGGGGCAAAAAAGTGCAAGGTGCAAGGCAAGGCACACGCCTTTTTGAAGCAAGGCACAAAATGAAAAAAAAAAAGCTCAAAAATTCAAAAAAAAAGTGAAAAAAGAGCAAAAAAAATAAAAAAAAAATATATTAAGCATAATATTAATTGAATATATAAACTTAAATTTTAAAACAAATGTTTAAAAAAATATTATCTCGAATTGAAATGCATAAACAATCTAAAACATATTAAAAATGAAAATTTTTAAAATACAATCAAGCATATAAAACATAGCCAAGCATGTAAAACTCTCAATCTATTT